TGAGCTGTTGGAATCAAATGTGTCTGGGCCTCAGAGTCTGTAACAGTAAAATGATGGACTCAGACAACACATTTCCAGTGCTGCCTCTGGACTGTGACAGAATGGGAAGCATTTCAGAAACTGGGAGATAAGCTGTCATTCATTCCAGTGTAAGTTCTCCATCTCCCGCTCCTCCCCTATCCCATTTCCATGCACAGAGCTTGAGACTCATCAAGGATCTATCCTTTGGTCCAGGGAAATCACAGAAAATAAGGACTGATTTCAACATGTAGGGTCCTTAGTGCCTTCTAAACTGGCGGTTCCCTCAATAATGCAACCATGCCACTACCTATTAATGGTGAACGTCATGTGTGCAACTAATTGTAGGTATTTCAACTGCATCATCTCTGAGGTATCTTACCTGTTGTGGCCAGAATACCTGGGAGGACATAGGCACTGTAAGCCTCCCTCTCTTTGCAGATGTTTTCAGTAAGAGGTTTTGGGCCCTGTGTCTTTGGAGAGTGAATCAGACATTGGAGTTCTTGATTCTATAAACTAGGGTCATTTTCTTTCTCTTTCCAAGCCTCTATTTTCTAAGCTGTAAAATGAGCCTAGCGGTGGTATCAACCTCCTGTGCTTACATGAAATGGTGAAAGAAAACTACCAGACTGGTAACTGCCCAAGAGCAGTCCTTATGGGGGGCTACTCAGTGCCTGCATTCTCCCAGGCTGCCCACAGACAGATGTCTGGCCTGGGGATTGTCCTCTGGTCTGTGTACATGGAGGGAGCAGAGACCCAAGCAGGAGTGGCCCTCCGTGCATGGACTGTGATGTGAACTTGTAACAGGGTGGTCCCTAGGAAAAAGGGAAGTTCCAGGTCCCCTGCCCCACCCAGAAGGAGGGTGGAGCTGAGCAGAGAAAAAGGAGAGAAAAGAAGGGAATGAAGCTGAAATGAAAATGGATGGAGAAGGAGGAGACCTAAGGAAACCACATGGAGCAGCAAGCATGTGATGAAGAAACCGTGCTTGTTTCCTGACTCTGGACTGGTTAAGGCAGATGTGGGTGAGATACCTGTAGGGAGGTGACTATGGCAGTGTTTATATTGATTTTGATTTTGTTCTTTTCCTCCCAGACTTGTCTGGCCATTTCTGACCCTTTTCCATGGGTCCTGGCCAGAAGGTTCTTCAGTCTAGTGGCAGGCTTTCAGGCCTTGCTTTGGGCCAATCCCTTTTGGGTTGACTTTTGCCCACGAGGGGATGGGCAACTTCAGGTGTTTGATTTAGAAGCTATATTCTTTGTGTTCCATATTGTATATTTACTGTATTAAAGTCCCTTTTCATTGAAGTTTTATATGTTTTGTCTTGTTGTGGTGGATGGCAGAACCCACTTAGAGCAGGCAGGTTTTGGGGCTTCAGGGGTGCCCCTCTCTCTCCCTGTCCTTTAACAGAATTGGGGGTGTCCTGTAACAAACTGATCCTGTTTTCTTGTAGGTTGGACTTCCAGACACACTTCCATGCAGTTGATGTTACTCCAAATACACTTCTCATTCAGTCTGTGCTAATTAGCACGTCTCTGGCTACATGTAACTACCAGCTGTGCCCCACTAGACATTGTGGCTCTTTAAATACAATAAATACATGAAATCCAAATCCAATAGAGGCCTTAGTTCCCATCAGAGTCACATTGCTAGTCTACCGCAGCCACAGCCACTCGCAGGGACAGTTCAGATATAGAACATTTCCACCATGGCAGTCGCCTGGACCTTCCTGAAGGTTAATAATGAAGCACCATTATCAATATCTACCTATGCTTACCTAAATGGGTGAAGTTAATTATTCTGAGTAGGTTTTACCCTTCCATCCCTCATTGTCAGCTGTTTTCAGCCTTGGCTCTGTTCAGTCATTCTGTTCAGAGACCTTGGCAATGGCAGTTAGAAAGTTGGGGCACTACTTGCTACATGATGTTAAGTGTCCAGGGGAGTTTTATGGGAAAATACACCCACATCCTAGGGCCTTTTTGTATTTACTGAGCCTCAAATTTTTATTGGAGAATCACGGAGATTATTTGGGAAGCCTCCCAGGTTGTGGTTCTGGAGTCAGAGTGCCTAGATTCAAACCCCAGTTTAGCCACTCGGCAGCTGGGCAGGCTTTGCTTCTCCTAACCTTCCTGAGTGTCTTCTCATCTGTTTAACACTTCCAGTTTGCCATAGGGATGCTCTAGTGCCAGCTTAACACAGGGACTGAATGCATCAAACTAAGCTCACTAAGGCCTTGTCACATAATGAAAATGGGAGTTGGATTCAGATGGGCCTTGTTTCAAGTCCTGGTCTACCCTTCATGACCTTGAACACATTTCTTGTGGTTCTGCATCTTACCTGGAAGAAGTAATAATGACAAGACAGTTATATAAAGTGTATGTAAAAGGCCTCACACCAGGCACACAGTAGGGGCTTTTTCCTGAGACATAATTCAGGATCATTTTATTGTTAGTACTGCAAAACATCGACCTGTGTGACTTTTTTTGACTATGTGAGTGTCAACAAAAGGGAGACTGGGAAGCTTATGTGATTGGAAAGTGCAAGACATATAAGAGGTGCCCAGGAGAAGGTTATTTGCTTCCTTCACTTGTACTTAATGGCCTCTGTGGTCTTGGTCAAGACTACCAACTTGTTTGGGTCACACCAAAACCTGTAGAAGGGTGAACAGAAACAATGTATGTGGCAGCCTTAGGAGGTGTGATTAGAACTTTGTCAAGCAGCTATTTTTATTATAATACATCACATGCGGCTTATGAAAACTCTGTTTTAAAAAAGTTATTACAGGTGGTGGGCTACACTTCCTTTCCCAGGTAGTGCTGCTGGGAACTGTGCTCTATGGTCTCAAAGGTCCATGGAAAAACACATACAGTTCTGCAACAATAGGTGCAGAACTGCAAGCACTAGGTGTCGCTTTCCAGAGCCCAGCATGTGAGAGCAAGGGTGATGTTTGCTCCTGTGGGCTGCTGTAGGTCACAGTGTATTTTACGTTCATTATTAGAATCAGAATTCCCAGAAATTATATTTTTTCCTTTTTCTTACAGGTATGAAGAGGAAGTGTCTAGGTCATGGTTGAGAGACAAACTTCCATTTCTGGTGTCCATACTGTGTTTCACTTTTATGCCTGCTGTCTCACTAAGTCTCCTAGCAAGGAAGAGCGAGGCTCTTCATTTTGTTGGAGAAGAAAAAAAAGGAAGAAGAGGCTCCTGCTTTGGGAAATGTAAGGGTAGAATTTAGGGGATACAGGATTTAGGTGGAAAAAGTTAAATTAATTATAAAATATGTTAAAAGTTGAATATGTAATTTTAAATTTCAATAATTGTTCTAATTAAACATTCATTAAATTAATTTCTACTAATATATAATGGATACTTGGCTTCTGCTTTGACTCTGAACGCAGGGCACATGTCAGAGTTGTCTTAACACAGAGACGTTTGTCTCCTCATCATCACAGTGCTACTGTACAGTAGCACTTGGGACATCACCACCATTCCAGAATGACTAGGGCCATTAGACTTGTTTCTAGTTTTTTCACTTAATGCATTGGTAAGTGTGCTGTTTCTTTAATGCATTTGTTTAAAAAATAATCTTTAGAACAGGTTTTCAATATAATTACCTTAACTTCCATGATTATGTATTTTATCTAATGCATTAAAATACCTTCTTTTGGGATGGGGTCCATAGACTTTGCCACATTGCAAAAAAGGCCCAGGTGTAAAGGCTGAATACTAAACTAGAACGGTTAAAAGTATCGTCTAATTTTGTGAAACTAGACTTGAATCCAAGTCTGAGTCATGACTGCAAAAACTCGGGTCAGGTTCCAATGGTCAGCGTGAAGGGGGAGGAGGGCTCAAGAGGATTAGGAGTGAATTTTATCCACATTTTAATGACATAATTCCCACAGGTGTATCTCACAATGAATAGGACAGCAATGGGAATGAACTAGCTGGTATAACTTGGGTGGATAATGTTGAATAGAAAAAACTGGACACAAAAGCAGCCATACCATAAGGTTCTAGTAAATTCAGGAGTGAGTGTCTATGAGATGATTATCCATTGAATTTCAGAATTAATTAGAAGGGGGCACAAAGAAGCTTTTTGGAGTGATGGGCATTTCATCTATTGATTGGGTGATGGTTACCCACATATTTACATATACTTTTTATCGAAATTCAAATAAAAACATTTAAGTTCTGTATATTTTGCTATCCCTTCATCATCACAATTCCTCAATTAAAATATTAATAATAATTGCTATTTCCATTTGACTGATGGTACAATGAGGAGAGAGAGAAATACAGAAAATTCCTGATTGTCCACTACTCTTGCTGCTATAAGAAGCTGGATGTGAGAAGGTACATGTGACTAGTCCAGGGGTTCTGTGTAGGGAACACCTCACTGAATTCTTCCCAAATGGCTATCCACCTGACTCGATTCAAATCCTCACATTGCCTCACAAGTAGAACGAATAATTGTGTGGTAGTCACACAGAGGAATACTATTCAACAGCCAGAATAATCAAAGTACAAGTACACATTATGTGTGATTGAATTTCCATGAGCAAAATAGTCTAGATGTGAAGGAAAACATATAATAATTCCACTTAAATGTAAAATAGGAAAAACAATTCAAATAAAAATAAGAGTGACTACACTTGGTGGCACAGAGACTCTCTGGGATATTGGTCATGTCCTATTTAGTGATCTGGGAACTGGTTATCTTGGTTGATTTGTGCATTTAAAAATAGTGGCATGAAGCATGGAGAGAGTTAAGGCTCATACCGAAAAGCAGGGTTGAGTTGTACATATTATGATCTATGCAAGTGGTATACCCTAAGTTTGTGCTGCGTGACAGTTCTGCTTGTCCTGGAGTCAAATCCAGCTCATGTCTCTGACACAGAGAGCCAAGCTGTTGTTGTTACGAATTCCATGGTCTTATCTCCGGGGTATTTTCTACATGCAGCAGAAGAAATACTGCCCCCCACTTACTCAGGGTCCTGCACAGATCCTCCCACACAGTGGAATCTCTCGGGCACAGTTTTCCAGTCTTTAGCCATTTTCACCATGGCGCCTGCGTCAAGGACACCGTAGCCAAAGAGGTGATTAAACTCCAGGCCAACTCCATTACGCCGCCACTGGTGGACCTCGTCATGAAGCTGGTTCCGTTTGGAGGTGAGCACAGTCAGATGCTGCATGTCTCGCCAGGTCAGACCCAGGCTGGATACCAGTGCCAGAGAGGATGAAAAGACAAGGGGGGGAGGGGGCAAGAGAGAGAGAGAGAGAGAGACTCAATAACTTATGTAGGACATAGATCCCTTGTCAGGTTTCAGAATATTTATCAATCCCCTAGTCAAAAGAGGATTGCCATATACTATTTAGAATTATATATATATGTATATTTAAACAATTATATATATATATATTTAAACAATTATATATATATATATAAACAATTTTGCTTTTCCTTACTTAAATTTCTTTCCAAAGCACAAATTCTAACACACAGTGGAATGGCTAAAATGAAAAAGATGATAGCAGCACAATACCAAGTGTTGACAAAGAAGTGGGGCGTCTGGAATCCATGTTGTTGCCGACAGGAGTGCAAATCATTGCAACCACTTTGGAAACTGCTTGACTGCATCTTCCACATGTTTAAGCTATGATCCAGAAATTCCTTTCCACTCAAAACATGTGCATATATTCACTAGACACATGTACTAGAATGCTTATAGATCCAAACTGAGAAGCTACCAAATGCCCATAGAGAGAATAAACAAAATTCAGGCATGTTTGTAGATGTGATACTACCTATTGATGAGAATGAGTGAATTATAGCTGCTATAAATAATGTGGATAAATCTCACAAATAGAATGTTGACCTATAGAAATCAGACACCAAAGCGAATATAGCGCCACCAAAATATGCTATGCATAAGACAGGAGGGATGACAGGACTTTGGCCCACATTAGAACACTGGCACCTCATCTCAGTGACAGGAGGTAAGAGCAGACTGACACCTGGTCTGATCTTTATAAACATCACCAGGGAGGCTGTACTAAAGAATTGTGACTTGGAAGGAAGTACCATGATCCTCAAAGGCAGTTATAGGAATCTGGCCCTGGCATGACCAGAGGAGACAAAGCTGGGAACCACACATAAGTAAGTCCCAGGTGAACTGTCAATAAAATTGGTTACATTTGTGCAGCTGGCAGAGAATATATTGGCTCGACCCAGTCACAAGTAAGCCCCTGTGAAGATACAGGGTATATGACTGTTAGTAGATTGTCCCTAGGCCACTCAAGATAGACAGCTGACTCTTGATTCAGAATAAGCAAACAGAGATCAAGCTAGAACCCAGGGCTTCTAGGGGAGACATTCTGCCTTCACTAGAAGAGGCCAGGACTTCAAAAAGAGGTTACTCATGACTCCCTGGAGGATGCACTGCCTGATGAGGAGAGGCTGTGGCTCTTGGTAAAGCAGGTCTGAGGACTAGGAAGAGACAGGCCTGGCCTGACTAAGAAGGGTTATTGACCAGGGAGACTCAGGAGTCTCCTACACCATGGAAACCTCTTTTCTGGCAGTGAATTACATGCATAAAGATTGTTTGCCTGCCTATAATTTGCAGAACTTTCTTTGCTACAGAAAGTTGTCCTTGCCAAAACTACAGTTGGCTTACCAACTTGATGCTAAGAAAAATCAAATATAAGGGCCCTCCCTGGTGGCGCTGCCAGTTAAAGCACTGTACTAAGAAGCTTAAGCCACTTCCGCATGAGTTCGATTCCCGCCTGCCCCGGAGGTGATCCACATGGTGCGGCAGACCTCTCCTGACCTGCCTGCTGTTTCCCTCAGCAGTGTACATCTGTTTTTTTTTTTTTTTTAAAGA